AGCGCTAGACAAACCTTGATCATACGCCATTAAAATACCTGAGGTTACCGTAGCTAGTGATGTTTCAGTACTTCTTCCAGGTCTGAACCCAGACTGGCAGTCAGGAAGTAGACCATGGACTGAAAAGTATTCTTGTATTTGTATACATAGATGTTTTACAAAAATTTTTGAGACAGCTGGTAGGAGTGACATAAGCCTAAGATCGGAGAAATCAGAAGGATTATTTATTTTAGGGATAGAGATACCAATAGCAGATTTCCATAGAATTGGAAAATAAGACCTCTCTATGCAGCAGTTGATAATATGCCCTATATATTTATCAATGAAAGGGCTGCACGATTTGAGCATTTTTGCATTAATGTCATCAGCACCAAACGCATCTGATTGCAAGCTATGCAAAATGGTGTGCACTTCTTCGACAGTTATCATCCTGAACTGGAAGCTTAAATTAGCATTATGAAAATTAGATGAATAATATCCGATTTCTTTGTCGCAAACAGATGTAACGCATTGTAAATACGATGCAAAGTAATTATTTAGATCATCAGGATTGCTTAAATGAGCTGGAATTGAAGTTTTACGTCGCGACCACATACTTACTGTTTTAAGGGATTCCAAGTACCTTTGATGCCGCTATTACTAGCGCAAATCAAGAAATTTTCTTTTTCACGCCTAGTAGCAGCCACAGTATAGTTCCTCAACTCCTTGATCATGTAGTCACGGTGGCAGCACCCCAAACATGGGGGCAATAGATGATATTTTATGCTGTCTTATTCCTATAGACATTATGTCTCAGATCGAGCCTATATCATACTGATGAGTAGCCAAATATCACAAAACAACTGTCCATGGTTGACCGACTGCGGCAGGACTGATGAAAGCTATATTACTAGTTTATTAAGGTCTAAATTTGTACTGAAACAATACACCATAGAGGTATCAAATTAGCAGTTACATAATAAATTTTTACAAAGTGTTCCAGCTCCTGTTATTAGTGGCGAGCTATAGATTATTTCCAAGATATAGTGAAGAAAGACACACACCAATGCGAATTCTCAGACGCTAACTTCATGAGCATTGGTGCGGGAAGTAAAATAAATTCGATGTTTATTTTCAAGCCAGTCAAAATCGTAGAATATTTACGAGGAAGGGAACTTCGAGTATATTTTACGGTCTGCCACAATCCCGCCTTAAAGGTGTGCAATAAACTTTTAAAGTTTATTCGCTCAAAGAATATGTAGTGCCGACAGTTAAGCGCTCTTACGTATGAAGATTTTTATGGGTTTTATTCAATAATAAATATGATAAACCGATCGGCTCCTTTACGACTTTGGAATCTAATATTTTTAGAGGTATTTTCGCGTATTTTTGTAGTGTGGAGAAATGATGTTGTGTCGCTAGGTACACTTGAAGTGACGCCATTTATGTAGTACATAATAATCTAGCAACCCTGCATCGAAAATTACGTAATACGGAATGTACGTAGCTACTGTGTTTTGAATATGATACTCTTCCCCAACATTTTTGGTAGAAGTCAAGTTGGCTAGCTGAACTTTGGGACAATGTAGTTGAGACATGAATAGCATAGTTTACCGTCACCTTGAGATTTTCTCGTCAGATCACCATGTGATTCCTCACGTGCAATTCGGTTTTCGGTCTGAACATAGTACGCAGCTACAGGCGGTTAGGCTGGTGGAACGTGTAACCAGAGGATTCACCCTTAACGAAAGTACTGGCATCTTGCTTTTGGATGTCTCAAAAGGATTTGACAAGGTGTGGCACGTGGGCCTCTTGTATAAACTAATCCAAAAGGGCTTCCAAAACTACTAAAATCCTTCTTTGAAGGTAGGAAATTTCGGATCAAAATTGACAATGTCCTGTCGACAACACGGCTGATTACAGCCGGCGTCCCTCAGGGTTCGGTCCTTGGACCTATCCTTTACTCACTGTACATCCATGACGTCCCTAGTCCCAGCAACTGTGAAGTCTATCTCTATGCTGACGATACTGCATTGGTGGCTCAGTCGTGGTCTGGTGACCTAGTCCATGACAGGCTGCAAAGTGCGGTGGAGGAAGTATTTGATTGGGCGGATCGGTGGCTAATTAAAATAAACCATTCGAAAACGCAGGCAATCTACTGTACAAAAAGACGTCGCGGCGTTCCGCCTGAAGTTTCAATGAATGAACTTCGTATACCATGGGAATCCTCCGCTAAGTATCTCGGTGTCATTCTGGACAAAGGGATGACTTGGCGGAACCATATAGAAGCGCTAAAAACTAAATTCCAAATTACGTTTCGACAGCTTTACCCATTATTATGTAAACGTTCAAAATTAAGTTTGATTAACAAGATTCGACTCTATAAGGTGGTCATAAGACCAGCAATGACTTACGCATGTGCAGCTTGGTGTTTTATTGCTAAAACACACATGCGAAATCTGCAGGGTCTGCAAAGCAGGACGTTGCGCACTATTGCTGATGCCCCATGGTATGTGTCTAACGAAACTCTACACAAAGACCTCGCTCTCCCTTACCTAAAGAACTACATAAAGCAACAGGCGCAGCGGCGCTATAGCCTAGCGGAATCGCACAACAACCCTCTGTTGCGTAAGTCAGTGGACTACACAGTCGAGCAAGTTCGCAAGCACAAAAGGCCGTGGTTCACACTGTAATCAAAATTAACTCGTGAACTTAGAACACCCAAAATTGGAGCATTTTGACAAATCGAATATTTTTAGACCATATCAAAATCTGTGAAGTGATTTCAACAATGCCTAAACGCTGCCTACCCTAAAAGATTCACTTCTTCCCTTTGGTCTCGTTCTTCCTTCTCTCCTTTCCTTCCCTTTTTTCCTTAAAGTTGTCTGGTTTCTGGGTTAACAGACCTGACAGACTTACAAACTGACACTGTGACTCAAGCAATGACGCAATATTTCAAATGACAACAAAATTGCAAAATATTGGACACTAACCACATTTTTTGTTGGATACCTAAAAGAGCCAACCGAAAATTTAATCTGACTTATCCAAAATTTAACTTCATCTACTTTAATTATGAATCTAAAGGTAGTAGTAGTAGTAGTAACTTTACGATCTCATTTTAGTGCCACGAGATTCTATACGCTCAAAAAACAACTATGGATTCATTAAAATACCAAACCTTTTTATTGAATAAATACAGTGATAGTGAAACAAGTAATTTCTATGTCATGCTCAAATGGGCATTCATTTTTAGCCAAGGACCTGATACGATCACGACAACTATTTAGAAACATCAATATGTTGATGTTTCATATCGTTCACCTTCCCAAATCACGAAATAAGATGAATTTTCTACTGTAATTTTGGTTTTAAAACTCATTATCGACAGTTGTTTACCGTCATTATTATTGCACATCATTAAATCACTTCGTAAACAGAAAGGAAAATTTTTTGTTAAGGCAAGGAAAACCTCCTACGTAGGGAAGCCGAAATCCAGAAATCCGCTGGAAAAGCTGATGCGAAAACGAGCCATAATTAAATTTTCCACTCTAAATAACATAGCAAGGGGACTAATAATGTCTTCGTGACAAATGGTACATTTTTTCCTGGAAACTTTAAACTTTTTCAGTAGGGCTACATAGGCGTACGTCCCTTAGGAACGCACCATGAACGATTTAAAGTCAACTCAGGAGGATTATTCAGTAAACCGAAGCAGCCGCGCAGGCAGAAGCTTCTCATCTAGATTGTTCCACAATCTCGATACCCTAGCGACAAAGGAGCAGTCGTATCGGCCACTTCTGGAGGTACGAAGTTGGACATGCTTAAGATGGGAGGCTGAAGTCAAGCGGGTCTGTCGGGCAGTCACATCGCGCAGCAACTTCTTTACATGAGAGGTCTGAGGAGCAAGGTCCGTTGGCGTAACGGTAGAATAGAGCTAGATCGCCGACGGTCCGCCGGTGCGAAAGGGTACCGAGGCTGTCCGTTAGCCATCAATCAGTCAGCATCGAGCATGGATAATATAGTAGAGGGACATCACCCCAAAAATGTGAGCAGTACTCGAGGCTAGACCTCATCTGGCCTTTATACAGAGTGCTAGGACGTTTCTTGTTCGTCAAGATACAATACTATGCTTTAGAAACTTTAAACTGTACCACATTGTTGCGTCCCCAAGTCCCCAAGTCTCTCTTCAGAGAGAAGGTCGCTGTTAGTCTTAATTTCTCCAGTTCACCGACCACTCATAATTCCTGCTTGTAGAGTGCTCTCATCTAAAAGTTTTGGATTCGATTGAGCGTACAGGGAAGAAGGTCGTTGACATGTAAGAGGAATAGGATCCCTTGCGAACACCCGCGTTGCTGTTGTGGGATGAACAGGAGGACTCGTCAATTACAGATATCCTGCGGCCAGGGAGGAAGTCAGCCACCCATCTGAAAAGCTTCTTTGGAAGGCCATAAGATGGCAGTTTGCATAAGAGGGCAGCATGCCACAGCTGATCGAACGCTTTCATTGTTTAGAAAGCATGCAATATCATATGCACCACCAGTTCCCAAGGGTTACAAACTTGTGAGTCTCCCCCTATTCGGTCGTCACGCTATGGGCACAAAGGGCACAGAGTCTCTAAGAGAATTCCGTGGACGTGTATTACGACGCTTTTCAAAACTTTGAGGGGACTGATATTCAGTTTGGGCCTTAGAGCGACTGTATAAGCCTAATGGTACACAAATATTGCAATCTTAGTTGAGTACCCTTCCTTTTATACAGAATAAAGAATTAATGCGTGCAGGTGCATACTCCTCAATGCAGCTATTTTACCAGCACTAACTACTACAAAAATTTAATTACCTTGAAGCGTTTTCTCAAACTTCCCTAATTTTTCCAGATTAAAAACGCTGCAAGATAAACGACACGCCCGCGGAAGTAGCAAAAAACTGTTCCATTCAACAAGAAACTTAGCCCGAAATGCACCTGATAAATGAAAATAAAATGTAAATTGTATGTATTTAATTTTGTGAGAATACCAAGCGGAAAACACTGCTGCTGCTGCATTCCTTTTGCTGCGAGGTAAAGAGCCCGTTAACCGACTGGTGGATCCTATTACGGCCTGGAAATGATAAACTTTTTGAAGGAAAATTTCTTGCTACGTACTAAAATTAAATGAGCTTTGTAAAGGGAAATCATTTTCGTGGTAGTAGAGGTCCATGACTTCATCTGCTCTCGCTGAATATTGTTCATACCGGGTGTAGCAAAAGTAACCGAGCGGCTCTGTATTTCTCCAGGTGAGGTATGGTGAAAGATGTCAAGGTCAGGACTTTTATAACTTTGAAGAAGAAGTTCAATGATCACGTTGGATTTGACCTACAGCTTCAGTAGGAATAGGAATAGCAATAAAAAAGAAGGGAATTCAATATCCAGGTTACCAATACAGGTCAAATAAAGGTCAAAGACTTACCTTCAAGGTCATAATAGTACACGACAACGTATTAACTCGCAAAACATCCGGTTGCGGGTGTCGAAGAGGGAGGATCGAAATAAAAAAAGAAAGTTGGCCTAAAATGGCTTTGAATGTTCAAGGTTCAATACAAAGTCACCATTAAACTTCTTGCAATAATTTACTAAACAACTTTTTTAATAAATAATTTTGCTGAACATATAGGGATTTTTCCTAACCCTACCCATTTGGCCTTCGTTAGAAGGGACTATGATCTCAGATTTCAGTCGGAAGTAGACATTTTCGTTCCTGCCATTCCAGTGTCAGCAAAAAACTTTCCGTTCTAAAAACAGTATTCTACCTTGAAATAACCTCAAACTAATTGGCCAAGGTCACTATTAAACTTCTTGTTCAAAGTTAGTAAGGAGCTGACCTCGACCTTTTTCATAAATACTTAGAAAATACAGAGCTGTTTCATTACTTTTGTTGTATCTGTTATAATGAATTCTTTATCAGGACCTTTCACCAAAGAAGAATGATCTTCAAGCCCCTTACCTCACGAATTTGTTTGGTCGAGTAGGATTATCGAGTTATGCGACGAAGGCTCACGTCATTGCTCTAGATATCTATAGTCACTATGCCAACGGAATTTGTTCCTTTGATCAATCACAATGTTCTTTCCGCATAATGAAAACATAGATGTAGGAGTAGAAGTTTACTGACATTTCGGCCACATCGGCGGCCTTTCTGGAAGTATAAAACGACTGATAAGTTGGTCTAAAGATTCTTTTCCAGTTCTGCTATCTTTGGCTGTTCAAGACTCGATTTATAAAAATTTATATGTTGGCGCAACACAAGGTGACAAGAGACTAATTTCCTGCACTTAGATTATTTTTTGTGACCGTGTTATCAAACAGTAAACTCTCCATTTTTATGACTATGATATGTTAAATAACATTTAACATTTATTAGCATAGCCTTCGCAAAAAAGCTTTCGAATATTCAAATATTATTTCATTGAAATATATATCACTGCATGCCAAGTTCAATTGATAAAACCCACAATGTGCATAATAATATGTATGTTTTGTTCCTTGTAGGATATCAGTGTTTCTCAAATGAACAAAAAAAACCGTTTATATTTAGGTGGCCTACGTGAACTGTAGTCAGTACAATATTTGATATTAGAAAGCAACAATGTATAGCAGGAAAACTCTAATTTTGTTAGCAGTGCTTGCAGTAACTGTCTTATCTGTAGGTGCATTTGACAAAAGTGGTGAGTAACAACAGTTCTTTTCAAGGGTTGATCACTTAAAGTGGGATAACACAAAAACTATTGAAAAGGCTGTAATGACGTATTTACTAAAGTGCTTGCTTTAAATAAACATCAATATTATGCAACAAAAAGTATATTCTGGGTATACATTTTTTGCATTGGAAGATTCATTTATGGAACTTAAGCTGTGATGAATCATTCGATAATGCTTGAGCAAAATTCGGGAAGTTCTGCATCATCTGTGGTAAAATACGTTATTGCTTGCAGATACCCAATTAAAATAAGCATTGTCAAGGTCAGAAAGGGTTTGAAGATCCTAGCGCCATATATGAGACAGTAGCAGAAGCAAACAATTGTTCAAAGTACTTCTAAGATCATATTTATCTTCCGCTACTGTATCACTGTACTGTTGGTGCTAGCATGTTTTAGATTACTTTTTGGACATCTGAATACATTATATGGTTAGCTACCTTAGGTTAATCAATAATAAAGTATGGAATATTTTGTGACTTATAGACACCATTGCAGGTCAACTCTTTTGAATTTAACTTTCGAATATGCAAATGGCTTCGTAAAAATAAACCGATCACTGATTTGGACTCGACAAACATTTGTACGAGACTGCTAAGATTTATTTTGCGTTTGGCGCTGAAATAACGTTGAAATACTCGACTTCTTTGGTAGGTGTCCTTGAAATGACCTTCAAATATCCCCATAGAGGCAAGCTAACCATTTGAGACTAGCGACTCTTGCTGTATCGAGTATGGTATACCTGTTTGTTTTTTCCAACTTTTCAAAGCTTTTGACCACTGTGTAGCAGGCTTCAAGACATCGCAGCCAGTTTTCGCCCACTTTCTGGAGCATTTGGAGGTTTATTTGCAATAACGTGACGAATGGTTTCTTTGAAAATTTTGACCCTCATTATTCTTTTGGTAATCGATTGAATCAACTAAATTCATTTTCAGATTGCGCAAAAAATGTCGAAGACGGTCCTATTGCGTGTCTGGCTTATATAAAAGTTTACAAGTGGAGCCCAGCAGACAACAAATGCGTTTCAGCTACGTATGGAGGATGCCATGCCACTAATAATAATTTTCCAACAGAAAATGATTGTAACAAAGTGGCTAAGCCAGTTTGCAGCAGTTAGAGATAGCTATTGAGAATATTCAACTTGTAACTACAAATAATAGAATCTCGTAAATAAAAAATACAGAAATGAATATTGTTTGTTTGTTTTAGATTTATTCAGTATAATTGCTACAATTACATTCTTTTAAAAAACTACAACAATTACATAGCCCACAGATATTTAGAAAAACAGAATTTGCATCTCTAAGAATTTTCACTGTCATGGAAATGTTCCTTTAATTTTCTTTTAAAAATCTTCAAATTACAAGTGACTTCATATCATTATTCAGTTAAACTCAAGTCACCCGTTCTGAAATATTGATTTGCTAGTTATATTACTATTGCAATTTTGTGAATGAAAATATATATATTCCCTCTTGTATAATAATTGTGGTAATGATTATTTAATTCTATGTAGTGTTCTAAATGTTGTAGCAAAAGATGATTTTTTATTTTAAATATAAAAATAAGAACCAAATGTGATATGAAATGTTCTATATTCAACCACTGCAATTCTTGTAACATAGATTTTATTTTGGTGTACTTATTTTTATTTAATACTGTTCTCATAGCTTTATTTTGCAGTACTTGTAGTTTTGAGAATACAGCTTCACTAGCAGTGAGCAAGATTTTTTTTTTGGAATATGTACTATAAAAGTAATTTGTTTTTTTTGTAATTTTTGAAATAATGTATGTGATCACCTAACTTTAGTTTACTAACAATATAATATACTCGTCTATGTACGTATATATATACCTAAATATTTAATTGATTCAACATTTTCAATTATGTCACCATTTATCCTAACTATGATAGCATTTTCATTTAGGTATTTCTCTATTAGCATACATTTTTTTAAAAGCATTCAATTTTAGTTTATTGACATTTAACCAATTTATGATTGTTGAATTTAGCATTCTTAAAGCAGTGTATATTTTCATCTGATACGAATATTAATGTATCGTCTGCAAATATCTGAATTTTGCAATAGTCTTAAATATTACAAATGTAGTTAATGTATAAAATGAATAGTAGTGGACCTAGTTTACTACCTTGTGGTACACTAACAGAAATATTTTTTGAGCTTGATACTGTAGATCCAATTTTGGTTTTTTGACTTCTGTCAATTAAGAAGTTTTGTAGAATTTTGAATACAAATCCTTTAAGTCTATAGATGCGATTTTGCAACTAATTTATTCGAGTCAAAAGTTCCAAACGCCCATTTGAGCACTCTCACTGTAGGTATGTTTCCTATTGTCCATACATACCCTCCATTCCTCTAAAATCATTTGTACTCGTATTGCCGTTCCAGTTGAGTCTTTCTTCCTGAATCCAGCTTAAAATTTGGTTAAAATTTTATTTCCCTCAATAAAATGTTCTGTTCGTAAATAATTTCTTCAAAGACTTTTCAACATCTGGCAGGACGGTTAGTGGCCACATAGTGGTGAACACAGCACTGCAGTTTTGTTAGAATTTCGCCATATTTTATACAGTAATTTAACAGGATTGATATTCTGGCTCCACTAATATCAAAACATTCATTAAACAAACACCCTTTTAGACAAACTGATAATAATAACAATGTTTATTGGTCCAACTACAAAGTTTTTATATAAATAATACAGGTAGTGTCCAATAAGCATGAGGTACTCAAAAGAAAGTATACAGGTGTGCTTGGGTTTTAACTGAACTCATGAATTATATGAACACAACAAATTTCCTATAAGTGTTAAATATAAAAATTGCCTCAATTTATCAAATACTCGTAACATATTGATTTTTGATGTCTACAAGTTTATGAATTTGTAGCCCTGGTTGGTTTAACGTACATAACTTTGATTCTATTTTTAAACATTTTTCACATTTTATTATGTCTAAAAGTTGCAGGAATAACATTATAAAGCCTAGAAAGTAGAATTATATTTTTCTTTTATTTAGTTTGAGATGAGTGCAGATGTTTTGTTCTGAAGATTCCTTAAGATACTGATGATTGAACAAGGGCATGATATATCATGTGTAGATATTTTTCGCTCGAAAGATATCTTAATTTTTGTATTAAATGTTCAACGTGAATGTTTTAGCTTAGATGGTTCTATATACGTAAATAAACCTAAATATTTGAAATTATCAATTGATTGAATGTTTTGGTAGCTATCTAACGTTTCGATTCGTCACATCAAAACGTAATAAAATATTGACCCAATAGAATAAATTGAAGTTTTATATCAATGCGTAACATGTTATCATATTTGATATCCTATGAAATTACACATTTTTAATAATAATGTATGACATGCCATAATATTTGAAATCAGGATTGAAAGCTATTCGCCTATGCAAAAATGACATACATAAGAAAAATCTAAATTGGTACGGGGAATAAGAGACGAAAATTCATAATAATGTTCTATTTATGCCACCTTGCAAATATCAAAAAGTGGAAATGTCAATGTGCATCTTATTTTGAAATCCTATCTCAAATAAATTCAGAAGCAGGAAGAGTGGAATATGCCACGGTAACAAATAAATAGTCACTATTCCTTTACTAGATAAATAAAACAAATTATTAAGTAACACTTTGTTCTTTTGTTTAACTTCCGAAAGGCTTTGCAAAGAACAAAACTTCTTGAAAGGCCAATATAGTAAATTAGTCGTTTAACTTGAAACTAATGAGTTTCTGCTCACATTACTTAAATTACATATAGAGGAATTTTATTCAAAGGAAATGTTGACTGTTAATACAGTAATATATTCTCATACAAAATTCTCAATGAACAATTCTTGAACGCTATCGTAGGACTAAAGATGTAATCATGAAGATATATTCAATGTTAATGAGTTTCGTATTGATATTAAATAGGTTGCCATTAGCCTTTACAGATTTGCTTAAAAAACAATTTGAACCGACCAAAATGATCTTCTTATGTATGGCCATTGAATAATTGACCTTGCACGAAGCATAGCCTTCCATGGCCCAGCCACCTACCACCTCACTTAAACAATGACTCCAAAGACTAGATCTACACTGTTTTGTATAAGCACGTATTGCGCCCCTGAGTGACTAGACGCCTATGTGGTGGGTGACGCTTGTCCTTTCCATCGAAGAAGCGGACTGTCATACAGAGATGCCGGGAAACATTATGTAGTGGCGTCGGGGCCGGTAGTACCGCGTTTGGTGAACCATAGGAAGCAGTGCCACCTATCCACGTACTCGTTTTCATGTTATCCGCATTCATCAAATATGTCAGGGGTGGGGCATAAGCGTCTTAAGGGGCCTCTAGGTACAAGGGGCCCAGGCCAGAGCGAACTCCGGGAGCTTTTTTATTCTTGAACCACCACGAAGGCCTAACGCCTAAATACCCTTGCGTCTGGTGGAGCATTATAGGAGAAAAGAAAGGATGTCACACAGACGCTAGCGGGAAAACACTTGTGAATGTGGCATGTTCGCATTATGGCCATGCGTTAGAGATCCTCTGGGTGGTACTTCAACGCTCGACAGTTCGAGATCGTCTATCACCTGCGGACAATCACAACATCCATAGCCAAGAAAAAAATTCTTCTCAGAGGGGAGCTCACGGCGACTAACCACTAGATCCATAGCGTCAGACAATACGCCACCTTACTTTGCCGTTTTCAAAAATTGAAGAGCGGGTGAGGGTGAGGGTACTCACACATTTTTTTTAATGACGGTTGAGCTTTAGGCATTGGAGCCACCATAAGGCAGGGGCTCTGTATACAAGCACGGAATGCATATGCCCTTTTAAGCAAACCTCCAACCTATGGCCTCCCAGACTAGCTTCGCAGATGGGTGGCGGAGTTTCTTCTCTATGACCGCAAGGTACCTCCTCTTCCTCTCACAATGTTAACGAGGTTGTTTCACAGGTATTGGTCTTGGCTGCATAAGTGTTTCTTTTACATATCAACGACTTGTACAATCAATCAGATTCAGAGTGACAAGACGGTATTTGCCGGTTAGCTGGAGAAAAGGAGACTAGCACCGTTTTCCTCTCTGGTGAGAGCCGGGATATTACCACTATTTAGGCAACAATCTGCTACAGTTTTAATGCTTACTAGCAGGAAGCGCACTAGTGCTCATACGGTTTCGATCGATGGCCGAGTTTCACCAAAGAGCCGTTCATTTCGGCTGGACGGAGTTCAGATCACCAAGGACTTGATCTGGCGCGAACCCATCTCGTCAATGGCTACAGCTGCTTGGAAATCCAGTTCTACTAACCATAGGCTGTCCACAAATCGGATTAACAAACTTTCTTTAAGTTCATGATAGCAGCCGTGGTGACCTGGTATTTAGGCTTCTGATTATGAGGCTGCTTCGGTGTAAAAAAAGCGGAATAGAGATTAACCCTCACAAAAGATACGAAATTAAAGGAAAGGCCTGTTTCCATGAAACGTTGAGGGTCCCCAAATGCTGTACTGCTTTAGATATCCAATTCAAAGAGACCAAAATCAACATACGTTAAAATAGCTGTACATCCCGAAACATAATGACAACGGCGGCGTATACATACCGGGATAAAGTAATTATACCGCCGCCCGGTATAAATACGAACCAGAAGTGGCGATATGCCGCGCCGCGCTGCAGCCAGGCACATATATTTTATTTTCATCAGCGAGCATAATAACATTTAGGCCACACGTACAATTACACAGCGTGTTTTCATATCGGCGTCATTTATCAAAATTTATGCAATGTAAATTTGTTAGGTGGCACATGAAGTGTGCATTTGCCAGGGATAATCATGTTTTGATTGGCCACCGGTGCCACGGAGACAGTATTGTTGCTTCATCAGACGGGATTGTGTTTTTGAATTACGGGATAAGCAGAATGACTCGTTTAAATTAGATGTCATACGCACAGAAAGGAAATAACTTACTTCTGAGCATGCTTGTTTCACAGACGAGAGGAACATATCATTGAGATCGTTCAGGCAGCGTACAGCGGTCCAGCGGTGCAGCGCTTTTAACGGAATAGCAGTAGCCATGAGATAAAATTGTCCATTTGAAAGCAGATTTACTTGACTGTCAAATTTGATAGAGCTGATTAATGCTGCAAAGGTCCCATTGCTAGTAGGAATGAATCCACATGTTGAAAAAATTGGGAGCTACGTGTTCGCAATGCAGGTATCACAATCAATATATTGCTATCGTTAATAA